GGGGGGGGGTGAGATGTAGGAGGCAGCAACGCCCCCATACCCTGCAGCAGAAAACAAGGGACGCTGTGTCACAAGCAGGCTTTACTGCTGCATGCTCCCAACAAACAAACGAAAGAATTCTTGCTTGCACGCATAAATCACAGCTCCGTTGCAGTGTGGTATTTCACGCGCCATCGTGGCTAGCGCAGCAGCTGCTCGATAGAGCGCTCCAGCTCCTCGCGAGGACAGCTCGGTGCAAGCTTTACCCGCGGAATGCCGTCGCGATCGCACACGAACTTCGTGTAGTTCCACCGGATTGGGCCGAGTGAGTCTTGCAGCATGTGAAACAGCGGATGCGCGTCTCCGCCCCGCACCTTTACCTTGTCGAACATGTCGAAGTTGACTCCCCACTCCCGCGCCCACGCCGCAACCGCCTCGTCCGTCTTCGGCTCCTGGTTGGCGAACTGTGTGCACGGGAACGCGAGGACGGTGACGCCACGTGGTCCGTACGACGCCTGGATGTGTATGAGTTTCTCCAGATTCGAGGCGGCGAAGCTGCAGAGGGAGGCTGTGTTGACGAGTACCGTGACGCGGCCAGTGTACTTGGACAGCGCCACGCTCTTGCCACCCATTAACGCTGAATACGCAAAGACTGTTCTGCTACTCATGGCCCTTCCCCCCCTCCCTCACGCGCAGACAGGTCCACACCCACGCGCACAAACAAACACCTCCCCTCTCACTACAGGAAACCACGAGGAAACAAAAAGGAAGAGTGAAGTGTGGGGGCTAACAAAATCGTCCCACCTCTTCTGTCAAAGCACAGGGGAAGGGGAATTCTGTCATCCCATATCATCACCGTCATTGACGCCACCAGCCACCAGAAGAAAGTTTGGTGTGGAATGCCCAGGCAGACACACATTCCGAACCGTCACCTCACTTTTTCAGCACAGGCTGCGTCCCTGCAGCATGGTAGCGATCCACCACCCGTTTGACGGCCTCGGTAAATGCAGGGATGCGGATGGGCTGGCCAATGCCACCCTCGTCTACGATATGAAAAGGATTCTTCATCACATACTCCACGTAGAGTGAGTGCAGCTCGCGGAAGAGGGCTTTACAATTGCCAGTTCGACTATCTGACACGAGCACAAACTTCACAAGTGTGGGGGTTTCGTAGATGTGAATATTGTGCTCGCTAAGCTCCACAAGCGTCATTCCAGCGCTATCGACGGGGTTGGCATTAGGCGTCAACTCTTGTGACATGCCGTACGTGGAGAATAGAATGCTGGACATGGTGAGCTGAAGGTCCGGTTTTGCCCCAAGCTCCCCAATATTCGCTGGTGACGTGAATCCTGACTTCGCGATGAGTTGGCCAGACTGATTAATAATCCATAGTAGATGAACCGTCATGGTGAATGGGGGAGCGTTGCCTTCTTGATTCCCGTCTATCCCTCACCTCGAAGCACCGCACTGCAGAAAACAAGAAAGAAAATAAGCTGACACGTAGACCAGGCAGGCAGACAACGAAGAAGCAACAGCCAGAACAAACATCATCATAGGCAGGTAGCACCCACTCATACAACCCCATGTGTTCTGCTCCACATATTACACGCTGTTAAAGGAGAGAAGTTTTGTGTTGGTTGCTCTTAAAACTAAAAAAAAAAAAAACATGACGGTGAACGGCTTCCATCCATCCTCATTTCAACGTCATTTTCATCCTCAGATTTGAGGACGGCGAAGTGGGTAACTCAATCCCACGTGGGAAGGCCGTCGTCTCCCATTGATTCTGCTTCCGTTGGGACGGAGCTGCACAGCATTCCGTCCAGCATTGCCCCTACTGCACACTCCAACTCTGCACATGACGCCTGTGTTGCCCAAACATGCAGTGTTATGACATTCTCCCGAGCTGCCAAACCCTTCTGTTCACCATCCTCCTCTTCCTCCCATCGGTCCCCTTCCTCCAGTGTGAGGCAGCGGGAACTGGCGTCGAGGGTCACAACGCCCCTTGCGTGTGGGCGACTCGCCAACCACACCTCCCCTTGCGCCCACAGCAGCATGGCGTGGTGGTAACACTGCTGCAGCCCCTCCGCCTCCAGCAGCGGAGCAAGTCGTGCTGCAGCGATAGGGCGGCCTGTGCGTCGGATGGTGATCTCGCACAGATCCGCCTCAGCATCAGCGGTAGTAGTGGCGGCAACTGGGGGGAAGTTGATGGGCTGGCGTGGCGCGATGCCCGAGTAGAGCGCAAGGTCGCTGTTTAATTTGCTCGCGAGGCGCAGCAAACCCCACACTGGCGGTGTGAAGCGCCTCATTTCGCTGTCAACGGTGAGGAGGGCATCGGATATCATTGCATCGTATACAAAGGCAGCAGCAGCTCTCCCATCCTCCTGCTGCACGATTCTCTCACTCACGCCCGGCAAGAGGAGGGTTACGCAACGCGGGCGCACCTCCCGCTGCGACCAGTAAGTCAACTCCTCTTCGGAGAACAGGTTGATGTCAACATCGGGGGTGATACAGAGAACTAGACTGCGTGCGCCTGCCCGCACAGCAGCGAATGCAGCTCTCTCAATCTCCGCCCGTGGTGTTGACTCACCGACGCGCACAGCATTTTCCCCAAAGTGCTTACGAACTATACCCATCGCCCGTCCCTCGGCATCGCCAGGTGCACACACTACCAGCAACTCGAGTCCTGCCAGCGACTGCGGCGCTGCTACGACGCCGGCAGCAGCACCCACTTCATCGCCAAAAACGCCAAATCCCTTTAGCGGTACGTACAAACCAGCGTCGTGGGCGCGGCGCACACAGCGCTGCAGATCGCGAAGGGCTTCTTGCTCCGCCTCTGTCTGCAGAAGGCGCATCGCCTTCGCGTAGCTGAACCAGTCGTAAGGCTCATCCGGGCTCTCTTCATCCTCTGTAGCATCACCAGCACCGCCCGACGGCGGGCTGACCGCCAACGCGACGTGCATGGTCACACACACAGTGATTCCGTCAGCAAGGCTTCTGTCGTAGTAGCACACAGGTGGAAAGTAGCTCGGCATATAGAAGTTGTCCGGACTGATGTCACACCGTTCGCAGAGAGCCTGCATGGCGCATTCCACGGAAGATTCTTCAGCACTCTCGTGGAACAGAAACGGCAGACGCATGCCGTCAAACTCGCCATCATGGCTGCGCACTAGTACACACTTACGCCCTCGAATAAGGAGGGCACCCCAGGCGTGCGCAGTGGCAGACACATTGTACGCCGGGACTTCACCCATTGAGCATATAGTCATTGATCGCCTCGCCTGCATTCGCGTGAGTTGCACTACAGTCATCGCCTCCAATGTGGTGCGTCCAAATTCATCGCGTTGCAAGCGAGACTGTACGCGAATTGCCTGGCCTTTGGCCAGTTTCAGCGACCCCGCAGCGTCCCGGAGACGGTGCACACACACTCTGCCCTGCGTTGTGCCCAGAATATTCATTGCGGCATCCATGATGCGGCCCTCCGCAACCACACTTGTCGGATGCACACAGTGCTGCAAGGTGGCGAGCCCAAACACACTCGCCGCCCCACTGTGTCCATGGCATTCCTGTGAGCAATGGCCTCCACACCCCTCATGATTTTCATCATCATCTTCTTCTTCATTCTCGTCTACGTCCTCTTCTGTCCCTGAGTTGTTGTGTGCGGCATCATCATCGCACCCTGTCGACTCCAGCGGACTCAGAGTCACGTGTTGCTCTGTCTTCTTTGTAGCCTTGCTCAGAACAAAGTCAATACGAAACACACGCGGGCCGCTGTAGTGTGTCTCCAAATTCACCGCTGTGCCATCCGCCTCGCTGCCGGCTTCACGCGCCACGGCGGCAAAGAGCGTAGGTGACAAATTGGTCGTGACGGACCACGTGTCCAGTAGGGAGGCGATGGCAGGCTCCTGCAGCCACTCGCGCCAGCCGCGTGCATGGACGGCATCTGCGAGCAGCACGACGAGCTGCGGCTTTGGGTAGTCTTCCACCGGGGCTCTCTTGCCCACTGCCTGCAGCATCACCTGGAACGGACCTATGGACGCGGGGCAGACAAGAATGAGCCGGCGCACGAGACGGTCCCTGTGGCCAAGCATCTTCTCTCCCATGACCGCATACTTGAAGGCAAGCGGGGCAGACACACCGGCGGCAATCATTGTGGCGTCGTGCGGGTTAAGCCTCGCCACCACGTTGGAAAGCCGCTTGATCAATGGACCGACGACAGGTGTCACGCTCTCCTCCTTCTCCATCGACTCCGGCAGCGCTGTTGTGTCAACGACGTACAGGGCGTGCGTCGTGTTGGGTCGCTGCGAAAAGACAAGCGAGGCGAACGGTGCCCACTGTCTGCACGGGTGCTGCTCCGTCGCGCCCTTCTTTGTCTTGAGCACGATGATTGGTTGCTCCGGCGAGAACACGAGTTGATACCCCGGCCTTGTGTTGGCGAAGGCGTAAAGACGCACGGCCGCATCCTTTGAAGTCCCAACGACGTTGTCGCGATGTTGCCTCTTGTCCGCGCGGCTCATTATTGTTCGCCTTCGTCGTGTGTGTGTGTGTGTGTGTGTGTGTGTTCCTTTGGACAGTACCCGCAGGCAGAGAGGAGGGAGGATGAAGAAAAAAGGCATGGCGAAAAAAAAAAATGGGGAAGACGAGAAAAAAAGGCATAATGCATTGCTCCAAGAGGAAGAGGCGAAATAAAAACACGCACACACGGGCAACGCAGTTGTCAGCTATGAGTGCACATTACTACAAGGAGAAGGCGTACATACACGCACACGTGCACATGAATCACACACAGGCACAGCTGTACACAGACATATATGTCTGTATATGTCCATGCGTGACCCACGCACACCTTTCTGGCTTATGCAACAATCAAGCATGCCGTCACCCTCCGAGTTAAAGTGACGCCACGCAGCCATCAACACCGCCCTTCCTCTTCCTAGCAAGATGGAACAGGAAGATAGCCGCAGCAGGACTCACTTCCTTAGCATGCCTAGAACGATCATGTTTGTTTTCTTTTTCGTGTCATTTGGGTTTCGTTTCGAAGGTTTTCTGTTGTTGTTGATATTGTTTGTTTGCACCCACGCTTGCTTTTAAAGGTCCTTTAGATTATATTTTTTTTTGTTTCCTTTTCCGGTTCCACCGCTTGTCCTGTCTATCGCATCGTCGACCTCATTGAATCAGAAGAGAGAGCAAACTATTTACCAAAAAAGAAAGCGGACGCATACGACCTGCACCCCTTCCCCGCAAATAAAAAAAAAAAACAAGAAACAAAAACAATGGTGGAAAATTGAGAAGGGAGCAGGTGCACCTGTGGGCGTTTGCTTTGGATAAGATGAAATCAGAAGAGTGAAGCGCACAACGGAGCAGCAGCGACGCCGAAAAAGAAGGCAACAAAAAAAAGCCCTACCGAACGCAACAACAAGGAGATAGGGGCGGGGGNCAGCAGCGACGCCGAAAAAGAAGGCAACAAAAAAAAGCCCTACCGAACGCAACAACAAGGAGATAGGGGCGGGGGTAAGACCAAAGAGCCAACACACACACACACACACGCAGGCACACAGGCAAGCAGAGTGTGAAGACACAAACCCACCAACATAAACTCCTCTTCCCCCCCCCCCACCCCCCAGAATGAGTCCTTCGGTATTTTCCTCTTTTTTTTGCTCTTATTATTATTGCTCTCCTTCTTGCTACTGCCTCACGGTAGTGATGCCTGATGCCGCCATTCTTGTGCTTGCTCCTCACTCATCTTCTGGTCCTGAGAGACGCCGCTGGCATGGGGGACTGAAGCACCCCATGCCACAGGTGTCCGACAGTGACAGAGGCGCCAATCTCTCAGGGGGGAGGGGGAGGGGGAAGAAAAGAAAGGAAAAAAAGGCAATTGCATGTGTTTTCTCTCTGATTTGGTTCACAACTTCTGCGTTTTATTTCTCCATTAACCTAATATAATTTCCATGCGCACAAGACAGTGCTTCGCAAAGTAATTTATTTTCCAGTTTTCTTCTCCGTGTGCTTGTTCGCATGGCCCTTCTTTATAAAGGAGGGGAGAAATTATATACAGGATAGGCAGACATATATATATATATATATGCTGTGAAAGAGACCAGCGAGAAAGATGGGTGAATTCCCACCCACATCGCAGCGTTCTATTTGCCCTTTCCCTCGCACTACTGGCATTAAAAAACTCAAGCACCTCACACCTCAGACTCCATGGGTGCATATCGTGTGCCGGAGTGCAGTTTGCTTTATATTGATAGCCTCTCGCATGCCTGCTTTTCTGCAGGTTCCGTCACCGATCTTTCTGAAGCTGTGGATTTGGCTTTCACCTCTCACGTATTTTACTTCTCCCCACCTCTATTCTGTGTATATATACGTGTCGGTACACGTACATAAGCTTGTATATATGTATATGCAGGTATCTGTGCGTCCACAGCAATCCAAAAACAGAAATTGTGGTTGTACGGTGAACGTGCAGTGGCTCCACTAGGGTAAGTTGGGGAGAGGGGGGAGAGGGCGAGCGCCACTCCACATTGAATTGACAACACAAGTGAATAGACCACCAGAAACGACGAAAAGGAAAAAAAAACACAAGAAGGCAGCAGAAGTCGGACCTTCTTTCACCACCCAAGAGAGAGCAACGAAAAGTGAAGGGTGCAACAGCAATTAAACCAAACACACAACGTCTCCACTCTCCAGCTCCTTTTTCTCACTGCCATATGACCCTATGGCCCTTCGCCACGTTTGGCGTAAGGCCCGAATTGAGCGTCATTACTGCTGCTAATGAAGCACTAGCAGCACCAACAACAACACGACGTCTGGTACAGAGAGGGCAGAAGTGGAGAGCATGGTAGCTTCTAAAGAAAATGTTCCATACCCTCTCTCTCACGCACTCATACACACACAAGCACACAAACACCAACAACTCCCGCTCACACGCCGACATCCTCTCAAGGAGGAGGCACAGAAGACTCATAATATCGGTCATGTGCGTGATATGGGGCGACGGAGTTGATTTATTATTATTATTATTATTAATAATAATAATAATAGTAACAAAACAAAAATTACAACAAGCAGGCAATCATTTTTTTTTTTGCTTTTGTTCCTTGTTTCAATGCGTCTTCTTTTTTGTGTTTTCCTCGCTGTTTTCTTTTTTTTTTTTTTGGTTCTTCTCCTTCAGTCTAGTCAGGTGTCACTCTCGACTTTCCTAGTTGTGTACCGCGCCGTAGACGGCCGAGATGGTGCCAAAGACAATGCCAACGACACCCGCTACCAGCATGGCGTGCGTCGCCACATAGTCAAAGGTACCAACTGTACGCAGTGTCCAGCTTCCTGAGTACAAGTAGAATAGTGCGGGAAAGACAAACGAGAGGAAGCCACCGCAGATGGCTCCAACAAGGCCAAACACAGTGTTGATGTTGGGAATGAACAGACCACACAACAGCACGACAACTGAGAGTGCAATAACGGCAACAAAGTGCTTCCAGTAAGGGAGTGTATTCACTTCCCATCCAATGACGTGGTAAATAGCGTTTCGGCATGCCATTGTCTGTAGTGCATAGGCTGCACACAACTTAACAAGCATGCCAATGTAACCTGCCATTACCATTGGCTCACTAACAGGGTTGTACATGAGCAAGATAGAGCTTTTCACATCACTTCCAAACTCCAAGTAACCAAAAATTACTGTAAACAGGTACAGCACGCAGCACAGTATCATGGAGATGGCAGCATACAGCGTAAAGTTCCGCACAGATTGATCTTTCATCTCCCAGTAAACCTCGAAGCAGTTTATCTGGCAGACGAAGGCGAACATGAAGACACCAAGGCCTTCAATGGCGGCGTTGCCTGTGTTAAAGAGCACGATCACTCGGCCCCCCTCCCCTTCGACTTCGCCCAAGCCGCTCCTGGCTGAGTGAATCACAATCATGATCACAAAATACACGACGAAAATGATTGCGACGGCAGACACGTAGCGCAGACTATTCACCCTCTTCGGAAGCACCAGCGGGAGCATGACAATAAACCAAACCACTGTGGTCAAGACGCGGCGTCCTGCGTGTGTTGTTAAAAATTCTGGTGTCCCGTCCACGTTCTTGAGGATTGGCTCCAGGATGTCACCCACGCTGATAACGTATGCGATGGTGGCGCCGAAGGAATTGATCCACCGGATTCCGGCAACGAAGTAGTCAAAGCGGCTTCCAATCAGCTGCTTCGCCATAGCCTCAAACGTGCGTAGCCCTGTCTTCTCCATTGTCTTGCCAAGGATGTGCAGTGAGTAAACGGCAAAGGCAGTAATGGTGACGAGGTAGATAATGGCCATAACGAGACCACTGCTGTTTGCTGCTGCCGGTAAGCCAAGAATACCCGCGCCCACACACACAGACGACAAGTTAAAGACACTTGAAACAAGTCCGCCATATGGTACAATGCGACTTCCCACCCTCTTGATGCGATCCATGAACGTTTTGGGCCCCCCCCGCGCGTCCTGGCTCTCGGGTTGCAAGAATCCCTCGTTGTCGTCAGAGATGGACGGGCTTTGGTTCCCCTTCACCTGCACCTCCGTATACAGCTCTATGTCGGATGGGCGGGTTACGAGGGAGCGCACGTTCGCTGATTCACGGTTGTTTTCCATTAGGCACAGGAATATCCTGTGTGTTTGTCGAAGTTGATACGCCGCAAATAAGTTTTTGCTTTGTTTTGTTTTCGCTTTCTTTTTTTTTGTCTCTTTTGTATTTTCTTTTTTGTTTTTTTTCGTTTCCTCTTCCGCTCAGCCTTTTTTTTTCTCAAATTTGTTTTAGTCTGTATGAAGATATATGCGTTTTTTTTT